CTACACCGCCGACACCCGTCGCTTCCTGGCGGCGGCGCCTACGACACGCCACGCCACGCCCCGCTATGCCCCGCGCGTCTTGCTTCACTTCAGGCGTGCCAACTGCATCACTTCCCCTTTAAGAAGAGGTGAGTCAACCTCCGACGACGCTGGCGTCACCGGGACGGAGACGGCGACTCGGTAAGGAGAAAGCGGAAGCGCTCTTCTCCCACGCGGCCTTCCCATAGGCTGCCCCCTGCTTTGCAGCAGCCTTTTCTTTGGTCGCTGATATTTCTTCCTCTCGCCCCCTTTTTTTTGGTTTCCCCCCCTTGCAGGTGTAGTGTTTTCTGGCTGGGCGCGGGGGGAGGCAGGGGAGCCATGCTTCGCTCCTTCAGCTACCTGACTGATCACACTGGCTTCTGCGGCACCATCAAAAACGCACCGAGTGACTTCGTAGTGACAGAAATCGAGCTGCCCGAACACTTACTTAGGGACGCGCGGGCTGAATCGCTTCAGAAAACCAGCGAAGCGCCGCTAGAACAAAGTACCCAGTGCCTGCCGCCACCCAAAAAGCCAAGAACGGAGCCTCCCGGCCGATGTGCCGAGGGCTGTTGCGGTGCGCCCAGGCCTCCGCAGCCCGACCCGAGCTGGGCAGGAGGCCACTGTTCCGCATCCCCTAACAAAAACCAGCATGAGGGTGAACCTGAACTGAAACCTGTCCTCGAGGAAGCCGGTATATTAGATTCCTTACTAGGCAAACCCATGAGTGAACTGCTTAATAAATTCGCTTGTGATCTGAAGGATGCGTGGGACGTGGAGAATAATGCCGATGCCGGCCCTAGGGAGTTCTCGCTGGGACCTATACTGGACAAGAAGAATCGAGCTGATTTACACAGTGCTGTTAGGCAGAAATTCCCCTTTCTAGTCACTGTTACAAAAGACAATGAAATGATTGTAAAGGGAAATGCTGATTACAGAGAACTTTCTCAGTTAGTGACTGAAAAGGAAACAAGTGATTTCTTTAAATTTTTAGATGCAAAGCTAGAAAATTCTACGTTTGCTTTTGAGCCTGATGGAAACAAAGAGCACAGAAAAGTAGTTCACCACTTCATCAGTAGAAAATTTGGAAAACTTTTAGAAACAAAGTCTTTCACTGTGACAGATGCCAATGAGCAGCCAAACATGTCAATACTGGTACGATTTCGAGAAAAAAGTTGGTCCAGAAAAAGGTCTGCTGGTGGTTTCCAGGGAAAACAAGATATTTATACAGGTAAATATTATATTTTTAGTGAAAGTGGTAGGTATTATGGTGTTCTTTAGTAAGGCTGAGACTCAGAATAATTTTTATATGATATATAGGCCTGGTTGACCCAGTGTTTGTGCTGAAATAAATCATTAATGCAGTGTAGTTATATCACGGGAGAATGAGATGGATGAATCAAGTTACTGCAGTGATTTTACATAAACTGTTCAGTGATAATGGTTGCAGTCCTGTTGGTTGTGGCGCTAATTCTGTGTTATTCCCTGTGTGTTAGCTTTCCCTTGAAAGTAATTGGGGGATTTTAGAAGATGCATCTAGATTTTGGAATAGTTAGTAAGGTCAAATTTGATTTGTGATCTCATTCCTTAAAGCAGTTGGTTTCTGATTGATACAGAGAATGTTCCTAGCAGTAAGACAATGCGTGTTCATTGAATTGTGGTGCATTTGATTAGATAGTATTTTTAAGGGCAGCAGGGGTTTTTGGTTGTTCCAGGAGTTTTGTTTACTGTATCTTTATTTTTCTTTTTCAATACTGAAAAAGCCCCATTTCCTTTAGTTTGGGGGCAGGGAGGACTGTTTCTTTGCAGTTTCTGTGCTATTACAGTTTGAAGGGAAGAACCTGCCCATCTGCTGTGGCAGAACGCCTATATGATTTTTAAGTGCAAATTCCTAATGATTCTGAGATGATTGTTTCAGCTTTCACCCTTCAGAAAGAAAATCTAGAAACACTAGAAGCAATCGGCTTCTTGGCTGCTGAACTTGGTGTTCTTCCTTCAGACTTCAGTTACACTGGCATCAAAGATAAGAAGGCTATCACTTACCAACCTATGGTTGTGAAGAAGGTGACTCCTGAGAGGTACTAACAATCTGGGTGCATTAAGTTTAGCACATATTTGTATATGTTAATAAGCATCAACGTGGTATGGTCTTCTGAAACATTCTTACTGATGTGTCTTCCATTCCACTGTATTAGAGCACAGTGGAAATGGCTTTAATATTTTGTGGCTTTAGGGAATATACAGCTTAGCGCTGAAGTCCCACAGTGTTGGAATTTAAGGAAAAGTCTCGCCTTTCTCTGATTTTTCATAATACGAATATACTGTATCTTCTGGGACAGTATCCTTCCAATTCGTGCCCATGGGATCCACTTTACAATTTTTTAAATACCATCCACTAGCTGGAACCACACAGGTTTCCACATACTATCAAAGTATTGGCTAGTGGTTCACAGACAACAGCTTAAAAGCTTTATACAGCTGCAAAACTGAAGTAAATCGCTACAAATACACTTTGGCCAGACACTGTGTTTGAGTGTGAAGTGTCAACTTCTATTGTATTGTCCAGTTTAGAAACATCAGATCAAGTGAAGAAGATATCACCAAACCTGAGGGCAGAGTATGCATTCTGAATAACCTGTCAATAATACAAGATGTGCCTTTCCGTTTCTCATTTTTCTTACTCTCTGTAGCCAGCACAGTGGATAAAAAATATATATTAAGTTCTGCCATAGTAATAGTAAAAATGCTGGAGTCAAAACCATAACTTTTTTCTTCCTCAGCTTTAACTTTTTAGTGGATTTTGATCTTAGCAACATAGTACACTTTGCAATTAAAGGAAAGTGGAATTTATGTTTTTAGGATTTGTTGCTAACAAAAGTATGTATCAATAGTAAAATTCCATTGCAGTCTGGGCTGTAAGTCCAGTTGTTCAAGAGATAGTTATCAAAACTTTGCATTAATGTTTAAATGGTTAAGCAAAATAGTTAAATGCTTCCAAGCCACTAGCGTAACAGGGAAAATAAATAATTTTTGTAAGTATATAATTTATAAAGTTATTAAAATATTGCTTGGAATGTAAGCTCTTATTCTGAAATTTGCCCTTGATTTGCATGATTATTACTTGTACACAAAAGAGCAAAGCAATTGAGTGGATACTCTAAAGGGCAAATGCTTGAACTGTCAGCTGTGTTTCCAATTACAAGCATGTGCAAGCACACCCAGAAAATCAGTGCAGTGAGTTTGTTTTTGTTAAGGCTGGCCAAGAAAGAGCAATTGTGTTTTGGACTCTGCTAGAGGACATTATTTTTTCTTCTTCTTTTTTTTTTTTTTTTTAATGAAGAGCAGATTTTTAGGACTGAAGAGTAAATTACTTGGTTTTCAATGAAAAATACAAAATTCAGTTCAATTGTCTTGAGAAAGTTAAATTGCTTCATTCCAATATCTTTTGAGCTACAGGATATAAGTGTAAATGAAGCAAGCATTTTCTGGACTTTAACTCAATTTTAAGACTTCTATCTCTGCATTTGGTTTGGTTTTCTCATAATAATCTGTTTTAAATCCCTCCCCCCCCCCCCCCCCCCCCCCCCTTTTTTTTAAGAGTTCTTAATTGTAGTGCAAAGGTGAAAACGACATTTATTAGAAGCTGGATAACTTCAGTAGAGGATGGTTCATAATTTCTCCCAATTATTTATGCAGGTTGAAAGAAATTGGAAGCAAAATGGAAAAAAAGGGCATGAGAATACACAACATACATTCAGCATGCCAGCACCTTAGACTTGGTCAGCTGAAGGGCAATCGCTTTGATATAGTTGTGAGAGATCTCAGCCACCACAGTCATGACTCTTCTGCAGATTTGAAAGAGAGAATATCTGAAGCAATGGAAAATGTTGAGGTAAAAAAGCCTCATGGTTGCCAAGAATGAATAGATATAATTCTGTGCTGTAAAAAAAAAAAAAAGTACTTTTAAAGAAAATGCTTGTAACAGCACAATAAGGGCATTCTTTCCCATTTTTGGTGCTTTTTGATGTTTTATGTCTTTCCTGCATTACTTAAGAAATCACAGGAGTAAAGCTGCCTTCCAAGGAGGGACCATAAGTGAACTCACTCTGTGTTACAGACTGCAGACCCCAGAGCAGTGCAGCAAGACAGATGAGAAATTTGGTAGCAAATGAGTATGGATAGATGAGCTACGGCTGCACAGACCTAAGACCAACCGAAGTGTTGTGTTTCACTGTGGCAGTTGACAGCATGAAAGAATACAGTTACCTGTATTTTTGGTTATGTGAGGAACATGCATGATTGGCTCAGATGAAAAGCCACGTACTTTCGTGGTATAAATACGCATGAAATGTCTGTAGCAGAGAAAGAAGATCCCCTGAAATTCAGTGGATTTTGATTGCTGTTTTCCTTAGGCCCTGAAGAAAACCTCATCTTCAGACATTCTTAAATCACTGAGAAAAGTAGAAGGAAGTCAAGAAAAAGAAAAAATTTAGGTGTTTTGTACAGCAGTAATTTTCTTGCCCTGTCCAAGTAATAACCATGATACAAATTACTTTAAGAAGATTAATCCAGGAATAGACTTGAATGAAAACTACACAGTGTGAAAAATACATTACATGTACTTTGGAAATTAATTTTATTACTGAAAAAAGCATTCAACTGGTACTGTAACGCTTTTCTCTCTTTCTCTCTGCTCTGACTGTTTTTTGGTTTGCTGTTTGGAAAATGAACACAAATTCCTACAATTGTGTGTCCTGCTTTATTAGGTTTAGCTTACTGGTCAGATGATGAATGACAAAAACAGCATGTGTGTTAATCCAAAATATGTATTTTTCGTGTTCCATGAAAACAAAATTGCGTATGGGACCTAAGGGTGTCCAAAGCAAGGTTATATAATTTGAACTGAATAACTATCTCCAAACAAATACCATATGTTTTTTGCTTGTCTACTCCATGCATACTTCTTATTTTCTAGAAAATGTTCTTTTAATTGGGTCACATGGCTGTGATTTTACTGTCCACCTGTGACCTAGAACTCATCAGGAGACTTAAAATCCTAATGAGCAGAAATGCTCGGTCTTGATCTTTACCATTGTGATAATAATAAAAATGATCTCATGCAAAAAAATTTAGTATTTTTAAGAAAAACTGTCCAACAGTGGTTACTGTTCATTACCTGTGCTATGCCACATTTGCTTGA